ACTTTACATAAGCAAAACTTTATTTTATGTCTTAACAATATAAAAGTTAAAATGTTAAAGCTAGAAAATGCCTGCAGGAGAATCCGGGGGCTGGCCAATGGTTTTTTCCTTGATGCTCCTCTTCGATGAATTATTCCTATATTTTCTATATGAATAAATGCAAAATAACAAATAAAATGCGATAAAAATATAAATCAATATAGTCCAAACACTAATATTGTTAAAATGGATTGGATTATCAAAAATATGTTACAGTTTTTGTTTTTGAAACTTTACAGAGTTTTTTAATGGGTTTAAGGTAAATAGAATTTTTATCGTTAGAGTTTTATAGTATATTATTCAATAAGTGTGTAATGTTGACCATATTACACGAGAATGAACACGAGCGAGCGAGTGTTGTAAATATTCAAGTGTAGTATGGTCCATTATACACGAATTGGATACTATACTTTATCTACAACTGAATACGGGGGCTCACCGAAATCGAAAAGGGGATTTTTAGAAAAAATTTTTTGAACTTGTTATAAATAGAATTGACAAGATTGTTCACAATTAAAAGACCTTTCAAATGAGGAGTATTTAAGCCACCGTGTGAAATAAAACGCCAATTTATACAGGAACTCGTTTAAAGTTATTTATTGATGTAATTAATAGTAACATTACAATTTGAAATAATAATAGCTCCGGTAATATCATTGAGATTGTTTTTTAAAGAAAAATTAGTGTTGCTATTGATGAGTACAGAATCATGACGATCACTATCAGAAGATGATGGATTATTAAGACCAACACAATTTTCATTATTGATTTGACTTAAAATTGCTTGAGCTGTTTCTATTTTGTTCTTTTTTGAATTGGCGATGTACCCTTCTGCTGTGGAGGCGGATTTCCAGCTTCCATGGCGTTTTAATGTTTTCATTGAAGCTCCAGAATCAGCAACCAATGTTGCAGATGAACGCCTGAGGCAATGGCCAGTATAACTCTCAGGGTTTGGTAATTGTAAAAACGTAGCAATTTGCTTTCCCATTGCGCTAAACTTGTTTATTCCTATCACTTGTTTTGTACACTTCCCTTTTTGGAAATTGAGAAAAAAATCTTGTGGTGCATTTTCGGGTCAGAGGTCTATATATTTTTTAACTATTTTGAAAACATTATCCACAATTGTGAAATTCCTTGGGACTTTGGTTTTTGTGTATGGCACGTTTACTTGAAAACATCCCTCAAAACATCTTAAATCCCCAATTTTCATATTCTTTAATTCACAGGATCGGCAAGCACCCATGACCCCCATAATCAAGGCAACCTTAAAAAAATGTGTAGATTAAGTTAAAGAATTTTGATTTTCGATTCGAGTTTTTACCTTTGTTCCAAGATATTTAAAATCTGGGGATTCCTTTATAAACCTCTCAATTTGTTCATCAGTCAGAACTTCAGATTTCTTAGGTTCGTAATTTTCGGATCGTCTTTTCAACAAAGCACGTAATCTCGGATATGTATCAATGTCGACATTGTTTAACATGCTTTTTAGCATGGAATAGTTTGTCCATAAAGTAGACGATTTGTATTTACTAGAAATTTCCATAAAATATACAAGCACAGTGTCTTCGGAAAAAGAGGATACATTTTTTGTTTGGTTCCACGACATGAATTTGTTGTATGCAATCTCATAATTTTTCCTCGATATTTAAGGTAATAATTCCAACGACGCCACTTTAGCAGCGTCGCGGATTTCAGGAGGTGTTAGTTCCATGTAATCATCGTCTTCCATTTTTTTAATTGATAAACTCTTAAAACGGGCTTAATATTTTAAGTTTAATTTCAAAAAAGAATCGGGAACAACGAATAACTGTCAACATGCTGTCAACTAACACGCATACTAGATCTAATGATTTTTAATTCTAGTGGGGTATAATTGACAAAAATCGTGTAATATGAATATATTCTCACTAGTGATATATGGATTGCTTTATGTTGCCTTAGATACGCATTTAATACATCCATATAATGATAGTTGTAGAAAAAATATTAACTTTAGAAAGTTTTATTATTTTAAATTCAGTTTTTGGCAGGTTCGTTGCTACGTAGAACTATTTTACCTTTTTTAACACTACACTTATTGATTAGTTCTAATAGAAATGTTCCTTTTAATGGGACATTATCCGCACAATTCTTTGGACCACTGTGTTCTGAGGTGAGGTGATCAACCATTTATTTTGACGAATTTTTTTTAATTTTTATGTCCACAATGTCGAGAGGGATGGTTTGGCAGTTGGTGAGGTTCTTGGAAAACCTCAACAAGGAAACTTTGCAGGGGGCGTCTTTTTCTAATGGAGTTGGTACTGATTCATGATAGATAAACTCTTGGTCACTAATTTCTTGGCTTCTGAGTCAAGTGACATGAAATTTTAATCGTTTAGGATAAGTAATTTCGAATTAGGAATAATCATTTGGAACAGGTTGCTTTTAGGAGTAGGTAAATGGAAAATTTGATATAAATCGTAATTTTCTCTCTCCAAAATTGAGATTTCTATAATAATAATAATTTAATTGTGTTTACTATAACTTTTAATTTGCATTATTTTTTCGAATTTAAGTATATTGTTTAAAATTGGTTGAAATGGTGATTTGTTGTTTAATAAGTTGCTATCGATTAATTTAATATGGTTAATCAAATCTTTAGGATCTATTATCGAGTTATTTTTGAAATTTTTTTTTCTAGTAAATCGTAAATATTTTGATATAAAACTGATATTTAATATATGACTTCTTGAATATAGACACTTTCAAAAGTTTGTTAATTTTGGATTTGAGCGGTTTCTAAACTGTGTTTTTTAGAGATTTTAATTTTAGTTGATTGAGAGCTAAGACGTGACTACTTTTATTGAATACGTCTAAAGAATTTTCAACTAGAATAATTTGTTCATTAATTAAAGATTTCATCTTATTTTGATTTCTATGGCTTTGTCATATTTTTCGGCATCGTTTTGATCTAAATTTCCAGATATTTATTTAATTATTGTACCTAAACTATTAAGAAGTCCACGTTTTCCTCTATAAGTATATTCAAGTGATGGGTTTAATTGATTAATTTGGATAATAATTTTATCCAAATAATATTTTGAAATTAACGAAGATGACTTGGTCTGGTTTATAAATTTATTTTTTATTACCGTTTGTAGGTCGGAAAATTTATCTTGTAGTGACTTAAATTCGTCTATTACTTCTGAAATGTCAAAAATTCTTACAAATGACCAGTAGTAGGGTTGATTGAAGACTGTCATTTCTTGTTGGTTTATCATGAGGTTTAACTTGTATGTCTGACAATATTTTTATTTTAGATTGGTTAGGGGTATTATTGTCGAGATTGTCATCTTCTACTGGGTTTTTAGATAAACGTCTAAGAAATCGCAGGGTTTCATTGTCAATGTCTCAAGGGTTATTAATAAGTGATTCGTATTCTAGAGCATTTATAGAAATTATTGATAATGTTTCAATATTAGTGTTTGCTGTTTCTTTTTTTATTTTTACTGGTTCATTAACTATACTTGTTGATGGGGTAATAATTAATTTTTTTATTAAAATCAACCGATGCATTTAATTGTTCGAGCAGATCAATTCCGATAAGACATTCGAAATTTTTATTAAAATCAAAAATATGAAATGTTTGTTCTTCTTCTACATTAAAGATGCTATAAATGGGAATTTTAATTACCTTGTTATGATGACTTATATTATGCACTGTTTGTATTTTAAAATATTCCTTAAAAATATATTTTTTATAAAATACTTCAGCCAATCTACAGTTTATTAAACTTCTACTGCTACCAGTATCTATTAAGAAATTTGCGTTTAATTCTGGTATAAAAAAAATGTAGGGTAAATTTGATCTCATTATGTTCGGATTAATTACATTTTCAACTTGTATTAGAGCTTCCACACGAAAATTTAAAACTTCATTATCAAAAGTATCATAAGAAGGACCTTGAGAAGGTTCATGAAAGTGTGTCAGCTGTATTAAAGCCTGCATTATCTGGCCAATCAGAAAATTGTCCAATCAAACTTTCACAAGCATCTAAAAATACAGTTAATATATGGAGGTTTCCATCAAAATTTGGAATAGTGTCTACATATAAATGCAAAAGTGGATAATTAGTTGAATTTGAACTTTCTAAATCTGAACTTTCTGAATCTGATTCTCTTATAGGAGGTAAAATATCTAAATTTAATAAGGAATCTGTTCTAAGAGTACTTACTATTCAAAATATTTACTAATTCGTCTATCTCAGACATAAATATAATATATTCTCTCAATTTTTATTTTATCCCAAAAATCATTAATATATTCAACTAAAAAAATAAAATGTTTGAAATTAACGGAGAAAAAAATTACTCACGCAATTCCCAGAAATATTTTGTCCATATGGTCGAGCCATGCTGTTTCTTCTCCCTGATTTTCTTAAAATTAGCTGGACTTGGCAATGTGGTCCTCATCCAGAATCTCAAACTAGCTGGATTTGGCAATATGGTCGGTCCTCGTCCAGATTCTTTAAACTTCGGATGTACACTTTTTGCTCAGTTTATTTCGCCATTTCGATTTGCCGTTAAACTATTAAAATGTACTCATTTGACACGATTTTTGTAGTCGAGACCGTTAGGCAATCCTACTGACTGCGCCACTTTTAGGTTCGCTAATAATTTTTTTTTTAATGAAGAAAACTTTACAAAAGTAGAACTTTATTTCATGTCTTAACAATATAAAAGTAAAAATGTAATAGCAAGAAAATGCCGGCAATAAACTAGTTTTGTTGGTGACGCCTTATCTTGGACTTGCTGCGTCTGAATAATTTTACTTGTATTTGCTATGATTGTGTTATCATAACTCACATCTCTATTTGAATAATATGAAACGTGGGTCCGACTTGGTAGGACCTAATTACAATGATCACTCTCTTTTAAAGTTGAAGTACTTTTTTGATCTAACTTGATTTTTATATTTTTAGGAAACGCCGAGAGTCTAGCGCAGATTCGGGCATAAGAAGCATGGGTTCTAAGTCTCGACGAGACTCTCACTATACCGCTATTTCAGATTTCAAATCTGAGGTTGCCAAGCTTTGGCAACCCAAAGAAAGTACTACCACTACCATCGTAAGTCCTAGTAGTACAAACTATCCAGCTACATCTAGAAGAGATAGGTGAGTTAGTACAAGAACTAAGAATTGCTTAATTAGATCCGTTCTTTTGACCTTAATTTAAAACTTAATTTTATTTTTTCCTGTACGACAACAACTACTAGAAGAATCGTGTCCTACGTAAAATATTAAGCTTATTTAAACTTTAAACTATTTTTTCTGTAATTTAAAAATAATTTCCGTTAACCACATAAATTGTTATCTTCTACAGCGGTGAGTCTAGTAAAAGCGGCCGTAGAGACTCTTCCAGCCATTCCCACCATGCTTCAAGACGGGGATCAGGAGAAAGTGGGAGAAGCGGTAGAAGAGATTCTTCTACAGCCATAACCCCTCCTCCTCCCAAGATTGTTGCCGCTAAAAAGAAAAGGAGGGACTCCAGAACTGTTACAGATACACCATACTACAGGTAAAAAAATTATAATAAATAGATGAACTCATCAAACCAATAAGATTACACTTATGATTATTTTGATGCACTTACATTCATACTAGGAAAGCATTTTTGAATATGCAATTTGATAATATGAAACTGAATTCAAAACAACACGACCCCAAAATAAAAAAATGTAACGTGATTTTTCTGCTATTTTACTTTTTTCGGTTTGTTTTCACTTTGGGTTTCATGAAATAGATTCCCTAATTTTATAAGGGGAATTGATTTGTTTATTTTCATATTTCTAAATTGCATACTTGAGTTTTCGGATCTTTAACCAATTTTTGTCATTTTTAAAAAGATTTCTACGTGTGTAAATCTTAAAGATATTAACGTCAACGTCACTTCAGAGAAAAAGTAGAGTGGCATGATTTTTCAATAGCCCTTTTAATCAATACTGTGAGTGATTAAAATAAGTTGTTTCCTCAAATTAATAAAAAATGAAATATTCATTATTACTCGCATATTTTTCTAATTTTAACATATAAGTGACATATTTTGTAATCGCAGCAAGTCTTAAAATGATCTACGTAACAAGTTGCATATTGTTGAAAATTATGAAACTGGTATTGAAATATTTATTATGTTACCAGTTGCGAAAAATAAACCTTTTTTTGGTTTTAAAATCAATAATATACATTATTATTTAAAGTTTATATCAAAGAAGGACAAGCTGACTCATAAAAATAGAATTTGATTAAACTTACAACCTAGTAATAATGTTGTTTTGGTGCTTATTTTCCATTCTAAATCAACACAAAATAATAAAAACCCAATACACGATCAAATAACCCACCTTTTTAAAAACCAAATAACTTTAATAAGCCATATAAAGACACAAGTCGTTGATAATAAATAATTAATATTATGCTCTATTTGTCAATAAAATGATGCATATGCAACTAACAATACAAGAAAATAGTAATATTGGATGCCTAGATGTCAGTCATTTCTTACCAAAACACAATTTTGTAAATAATCTAGTCAAAATTAGAAAAAAATATTGTATGTAACTCGTTTCGAAATATCGTTTTACGTAACTCGTTTATGTTGTGAAAACTCACTCTGCTTGTGCCGCAAATATTCACTCGTTACATAAAATAAGGCATTTCGTAACTGGTTTCATAAATAATAATTAAATAAATCAATAAAAAAATATTAATGTCAGTTTATCAAAATTAAAGTAATTAAATAACAGTTAATGAAATATTGCCCAAATCTATTATATTCACGTTCTATCTTTAAGTTTTTTCATGTAGGTAAATTTAAAGTGTCTTCGTGATTTAAGAGCCAATATTTTCACCTCTGAGTAAAGTTATAAGTAACCTACTTGCAGATTAAACTATAGGGCTATTGTTTCTTAATCCGTCAAAAAATTGGTAAAGTTTTTACCCTCTATATAGAAATTTAAAAAAACAGGGAACTCCAATTAGAGTATTTAAAAGTTTTAGGAAATAATTTTATAATTATTTATAAATTAAAAATATATTAACAGATTTTGTTGAAATAAAATAACCAAGTTGCTTCATCTGTTATGTTGAAGAAATTAGTATAATATATTGTAGACAAGTGTAGAAGGTTAAATCACCAAACCAAAAATCTGATTTTGATCGTTTGTTTTTGTATATACATTTTTAAAGATGTCTTGGATGTTATCATTTTATATGTAGGTTTAAAACATACACATTTGTTATCCAAAGGACCCTGCACTTATTTCCTAATGTAAAGTGACTGTTGTATGTTATTGTACTCAATCTAGTAACCAAAAGTGTCAATAGGATCACCTCAATCCTATGACTAGTTTTTGATATGTTGAAAGTTCAAAATTGCTTACTTTTCGTAATTTTTATTTTCAAACTTACAAGCTAGAATAAATTTCTGTTGTATAAACACGTTTACTACATGTTTTAGTAATACATTAGTACATACGTACAATTAAAAATGTTTTTAGATACAGGGAAGGGTGTATGACGGTATATAGTTTTTCCAAAATCTCATTAATTTTACTGTGACGTTAGGGAAGCATATTTTTAAAAAATACTACACAATATGGTATTTTGGCAATAAAATATTATAGAGTACACATTTCTTATACAGTATAATAGAAACAGTTAGATCACCATGTATATTTTAAAATCTTATGGTTATGTAACAACCACCGTCACTTAGAAAGTAACTGCTGTCACTAAATAACAATGTAGTGGCGAAAAGGACTCTAGTCATCAACGGGGGGTACACTGTAAGTGTAAAGGCAGCGACTGTCACCATAAAAAAGGAAAAATAAAATAATAGGTTTAAAAATAAAAGATTTTTCCCCCGTGATGAATAGTGCAAGCGGGTTAAGGAAATAGTTTGGCAAACTAATAATAGGCACATATAGTCCTTACTCGGGGGTAGGTTCGCCGAGGCTTCGCAAAAGTACCCGGAGTGTCTTTTGACAAAAGAGGAAGGAAAACCTGATGAGGATGGAATATATATTCCACAGTTATGTATGTATTGGTTAAGAATTAAAAGGAACACTTAAATAATTATTCAATTATCGAACTCTGGATTTGATTACATAGCTTATCTGGACTAGGGATTGTTCCTCTTTATGGAACTCGGGCTGAACTCAACAACTCGTAACACACATAAGATAAAACTAGGTTAACGTTTAACAACTCAATATATTTAACTCAATATATTTAAACGTGTAACAATTTTAAATATGTCATATGTTTAGAGGTACAAGATCCACCCTGAGGTTCTCGTCTGATTCGGTAAATCACCCGACGATAATAAAGTACCGATAACTACTATAAGAATTAATGGCAAAACGTGTCAGAAATCTCGTTGAATCTTGTACCTACCAAAGTCAAAAAAATAAACTATATGACTTCCTATAAAATCTACGAAGAGAGATAACTAAATAATTTGGCAAATGAAAGAGGAACTGTCACAATTTTAATATAGTGAAAGAGGAAGGCTTACCTTGCTCGAAACGTAGTTTCGATTTCACTAAGTTTGAAATCGGTTGGCTGATATTTATTATTTAATCACAACTTTGAAAATTATTTTAAAATTCCCGAGGTACGCTTTATCGGCGTCGGTGGATAGTCGGACAGAATAACGCCCGGCCCACTCAGTCACTCTCCCTTCTCCTCGTTCCCAAATCGTTTAAATATTAGTTGAGACGTGCTTTCTTTGAAATTTTTGATCAACTCAAATATTTAATTTACTTGATAATATAATAACTGTTATTAATATTTCTAAGGTCAAATGAAGGAAAGTACTTGAAAATTTATATCAGATCTTTATGTAAAATCTTTAAATTAATTAAAATAATTGCCAAATTATTACAGTTACACACCAAATGTAATGTTATTAACTTACTCAAAAGTCACGAAAAAAATACAGGGTCGTCTTTTTAATAATTTTAAACCATAATTATTTTTTGGTGGTTAGCTAGATGGCTCACCCTGTATATAAATATATTTACTCAACGAAAAATTTATCTGTGGCGCAACTTTCAGAGTATTTGGTATATTATACCTTCCTATACCTATACCTTTCTAAAACTCTGAAAGTTGTTTACCTACATCTATACTGAGATGTATTTTCTCTGTCATTGTGAAGCCCCAATATTTTGGTCATGAGCTGCAACTGTTTTAAACTCTCCCTTTTAATAGACATATTAGCAAAATTTATATTAAATTTATATATTCTACATGGAGACAATCTAGCTTTTTAGTTTAAAGTAAAATATCAGCAATTCTCCACTTTAACGCCCTTTATCTCGAAAACTGGTCATAGGATTTAAAACTCGTAACTTTTAAAACGAAATATTGGGAGTCTTCAACTTTTTTCAGTAACTATATCGTATACATACGATAATTATCGTGCTTCTTGCAACACTGCTCTCGCTGTTGACATGATTCCTTATAATTTTAGTCGAGTCACATGCGCAGTAAGGCCAAATCGTGAGATAGTACTCACACTCCTTTTCCCATAGTTGCAGAATACAGCTTCTTGTGTGCTTCGTTACGTTTACCATTATTGGATGATTGGCTGCTTTTAAAATGGTTTAGTTACACAAATCAGAAGGACGTTTTTTTATTATTTCCACTCAAGCGAGACTATTTTTGTTTAAATACAATTCCTTTCAATACCATTTTGTGTTTTCAAAAACTTATGTAGGATCTGTTCTCTGTGACCTCTAAAGTACTCAGATACCAATTTTAGTCCAAATCAGCCGACTTTAAATTTAATTTTTTTAAACTGCTCACCCTATATATAACTGACCAGAAGTTATGTGCAGTTTTTCTCTAAAGCCGTTTTTGAGCTATCGCGCCAACAGACAGAAGACGACACACAGACCGGCGAAATGGGGAAAAATGTTTTTTGTAATTTAGGGACCTCAAAACGTGATGATCTTGAAATAATCTCTTCACGATTACAATAATTTTTTTATTATTGGTACTATTTTATGGAAGGAATTAATATAACGTATAATTAATGTACAATAATATTTGACATATTTGTTATTTAGGCAAGATCAACGTCCCTCAACTTCTTCAACAGCATCTGATTCTGCGCCGCAACAGTTCCTGGGATTCCCCGGCGTTGGAACCACTGTTACTACGTCTGATATGGGCTGTCAAGGACTTCCAGCACCTCCGACTATCATAACTTCTAGTGTAACTCCACCAGCTACTTCGCCAACTGTACCTACAACTACTGCCACAACTCCAACTCATCCGTTATTGGCCACTCGGAGGGATTCTACAACCCAATGCGGACGTCTGGGTCAGTATGAATATGGAAAATTACCTATTTATGTTATTGACTTTTTAATATTTAATGCATTAGTTATCAAAGTCTAAAACGCCTTTAAATGTTTAATATTTTCGTCAATATGCGTAGTTTATTATCTTCTATTCGCCATTCAAATTAATTTTTTCGCTTATGTAATTTCTCACTATGCGTATGCAAATTATTTGTTGTGTATTTTTCGGTTTTTTAATTATTTTTAGTCAGATATTAACCAAAAAAAGCTTCTAAAGTTGGTTATTGAAAAGAATCACGTATTTCGAGGAGTACAATTCTTCTTCTTTTTAAGTGACTCAGTCACAAATCTCTGTCTGTCAGTCTGGCATACTGTAGAAAAAAATGTTTAAATCACTCGTTATTATATCAGTATTTCTGTGGTTTTGTAAGATGGTTTGCCTGTCTTAAAGAAAATAATCCTTACCTTAGAAGACGACGGTTCAGAAATTACTCCGGCGCCAGTTTTGTTAATATTATTTGCTCCAAGGCTCTCTTATATAGCTTCAAAAAGGCTTGGTAGCGCCAGATGGAGATACTAAATATTTCAGAGGTCAAAATATTCTTGACACAAACTTCTAAAGGCTATTTTAGCAGGTTTATTTGCTACTGCTACAGTAAATAAATTCCAGGTGATATAAAGGGATAAAACGGGGTTTTTATACACGGTTCAATAATCATTTACAATAGCGTGAAATAATAAATCCAAAATCAAATTCAAAATTTGAGGTTAAGTTAAATCAAATAAATACGACTTCTTTAATGAAAAGAAAACGGAAAAAATACTATCGTTAAGATGGAACCTGTATTGAAATTTATCAACTGGTGGTGTCGGCTTATCAGTTAATGATATTTGCCTTCTCGGAGCTCGGAACAAAGAGAGACAAATCTTTTGTTTTCTCATTGGATCTTCGCTCTATTCCAAAAATCTCCATTAGCAAGCCGGTTGACCGCAGAATTATCCTACCCAATCACCGTCATGAATTTAAAGTAGAATTTGATTTGATGTAGACTTAAATTAAATATTCTGCATTTGTAAAATTAAATATTTAAAATACAGGTTGATTTGATGCAGAATTGGATCGAATATTTTGCAGTTGGAAAATTAGTACAATTTAAAAGTTAATGAAAAACAGGTTCAATAAAGTTTAGTTCAATACCTAAAACATATTAAGTTACCACTATGTAAAATTAAAAGGTTAGTATTCCAAACTGTTGTTAGTCAACAACAAAAATTACCCATTTTATTCAAACTGGCTACTTTTTTGCATATATCCTTTGGAATATGATGAAAACTTACTTTTCTAACTGGAATTGCAACCGCATAAACCCAACAATATTGTTACACTGGATTTTGGTAACTCAACTTTACAACTATACAACTGATAACATGAACGTAAAACGTCTGTCATAAAACTGAAAACTCTGACGTCAGTAAAACCGCCATCTCTTTTTCAGCCCAGCCATTGGCTCTAGCAGTAGCTCGAGCTGGAGTCGATACGTTTTCCATGTCGTCTGACCGTCAAACGAGGGTGACTTAATCATCTTGCTAGTATGGCTACTAATTCTTCACCAGTTCATTTCTAATATGCCTTTGCAACTCTACTCTATCCGTTTCTTGTTGTTTTAAATTCGTTTTTAAATTCTCTTGTTGTTGGGCTAAGATATCTAATCTACCGTTAAACGACCTACCTCTTTCCTGAAGTTTTCTTAAATATGTAGAAAGACATTTTTAATATCCAACTCAGCTTTTCTACGCCTCTCCTTCTTTCCTTTTTCTTCTTCCTTCCTACGCCTTTCTTTTTCTTCCTCCTTCCATCTTCAAAGACCGTGCTAGTGGGCCTGAAGTATTCATAACTGTTTCGTGCGCAGTGGATTTAGTATTTACCATGAATAGAATGCTTGGGTAATTTTAATTTTATATCTCACCGCTGTCACCAATGTTATGCTGGTTTTTGGGAACTCAATTTATTTAAGCTCAACTTTTACAATTTTACCATACGTCTGTCATAAAACTCTGACGTCAGGACCATCGAATTATATAGCTCGCTTTAACCTTCTATAACCTTCTCAAACCGAACCATCCAGATGTTTCTTGACAGGGAATGACATTTCTAGACGTTTCTAGACTATTCTCTATCTTCTTTTGCCCGTATTTTTATTTATGATGACCGCAGCACACTAGTATGGTGATAGGTAACAATATCGTTACACAAATAAGAAATTTCCTTTAAAAAAACACAGAAACTAAATTTAAATAAATACTAAATGAAACCCAAAAACACTATTACCATGAAGCCCGCCATATAACTAACAATGTAAATAAACAAATAACAAGTGACAAATGATAGGCGCACGAAAATTAATTTGAATCATGAATACATAAACTTAAAATTACTACAACAAAAATGTATATTTTTATTTAACTGTTGCATTAAAGTTGGCACCGGTATGGCAACGTACTGTCTTTTTCCATCAATCTATCAATGATGAAATAACAATTATTATCCTTTTATTTAACAAAACTGAGGACTTAATCAATACACTTTTTCTGTGTATTGATCATTTTGCATTACTCATTATCCCCTACTTACATCGTGGCTTTAACGTTTGTTTTTAGGGCGTAGAGATTCCAGATCCCACGCTAGTCCGGAACGCAAACATTCTAGGTTGCAACGTCAGAATACGGCTTACGATGAAAGTTGCCTACCACCAGGAGTTTGGAATCGCAGGGGAAGTCAACCTCAACAACCCGCTTTAAGCCCTGACGTAGATGAGAACGGTCGCAAAGCAAGAAGAGATTCATTAAGTCCAGATTCGGCATCCAGAGGAGGCAGAAGGGATTCTAGGTAATATTATTAATTTCTATGTGATAATTCAATGAATAGCAAGTATTTGATTTATAGTCTTGCTTTTCAATATGTAATATCTCAAAATTTGCAAGTTGAATTATTTTGATTATGTTTTTTAGAATTTTAATTTATATCAATTTTTAAACGATGTGAACTCCAGTTATTATTGAAAAATGTTAGGCTTTTCCTGCCTAATTAAATATCAGAAATAATTAATATTCAAACATAATTAAAACAATCTTCTATTTTAGATCTCATCTGAGCCCTGACAGATCTGGAGACCGCGACCACAGTCCTGTGAGACGAGGCAGAAGAACATTGAGAAGACAATCAACAAGCGTGGCTGCAAGAACCCATGGACCTAGATCTCCAGATTCTTCTAGGTGTGTTGAAAATGTCTCCATATCTATGAACAAAATTGTTCACTTTGTTACTGTTGGCAGTTTTTTTACAAACAGTTAAAATTCTCATTAGAATAGAAGATAAGAAAAGTTTTTTTGCTTAAAGCAGTGGGAGCCAGAAGCGACGTCTCGCCTCATCATATCCTACATCAGGTTCTATTTCAACCGTGTGAAGGCGTTTTATTGTTACCACAGAGCCACCTTCTTGATGTAAATATCAAGGAGAGTGAGACTAAGAATGACTTTTATGGCTTTAGTCAGTGTGAATTTTATAGCTCCTGTTATGTTGAGACATGCTGTTCTTTGAATTTTTTCTAGTTTGCGGATCTATCAACTACACTGTATGTTGAAATAGGTCTTATGATGGCCGTGTAAGTCCATGCGACGACTTTGTGGGAGAGACCATAAGTGTGCCCCACGGTTCGATGGCATTATTCATAAGCAATGTATGCTTGTTTACTTTGTTTTCTTGATGTATTAACTTGTTATCAAAGGTGAGACCTAGGCACTTCACTTCTGTCGCTAAGTTTACAGACTGCTTCTTTATTGCCTCTTCCTAAATAATGACTTATTTGGCACTATCATAAGTGATGTTTGGTTGAGACAGAAGTTTTCTTTTAACATGTTCGTTTATTATACAACAAATAAGCCTGTCTTTGCAATGTTACATTTCCAAGTTCTTGTATTGTCAGGATATAGTCTCTTATCTTTTCTTCTGCATTTTGGCCTCTTCGGCCAAATATGTATCTTTTTCTTGTCGTTAGACCAGGTGGGTCATATTTCGTCGGTCTAAAGCATGTGATACACTTATTGTATCTCCAAAAACCCATTTTGTGACAATCGCAAATTTACACTTCAGCGAGGTGTACTAGAAAGTGTAATTAAATGCCTTAATTCTCAGTTTTAAATTTGATTTTATTGTAGTTTGGTGAGTGTTGGAGCTACAATGTTTGTGGCCAATAAAGAAGGCTTAAAATGCGAATTGGTACTAAGATCATTATAACATTAAATTTGCAGTTACAATATGTGTGCTTTAGATCGACGATTTATTTAGTAGGATTGTCTTTAATTTGTCAATTGTTTTATCTTTTAGTCTGCTTGGAAGTCTGCTACAGTTCCTACTTCTGGTAAAAAAAAATAATCTTTCCTTTAACACTAATAGATTTTTTCAGAAGACATAGTTTTATATAATCGTTTATATAAAACACACAATACTAACTTAAAAACAAACTTACGTCTTAAAATACTTAAAAACTTCAAATATTCTACATATACAACCTCAAACTTTAGAGATAAATAAATGGCTCTTCTAAACGACAACATTTACGAATTGTTGCGTCGTTAGGTAAATGAGTTTGCTACTGTCGTCATTTATAACACTTCGAAAGTTTTCTTATTAAATTCAATTTAAAATATAAACCTGTAAGTAATAAAGCAATCACAATGTAACCGTCGGACATTGTTTAACAGTAACAAAGTGAACAATTTAAAAGCACTCCAATTCGGAACTTACTTTTCTTTAACCCGTTTAGTTGCTCAAGCAGAGATCCAAGTCCATGCAATCGATGCACTCCGCTGCCAGTCGAAAACTACCGACCAGCAATCCGAAGACAATCCACAACGGAAGAGATCCTCATTGCTCGAGGTTTCCGAAGACAATCAACCACCGAGGAGATGATAAGGTAATTACTGGCAACTCAAACAACGCATAATTAAGTAAAGAAGTTAGGAATATGCTTGTGATCATTGTTTAATTGGTAAAATAGCGCCACAAATCTATTTGATAAGTAGTCAGCACCAAAACAGAAGTTGTGTATTGTTCTTTCAATGTGAAGCTAGTTGTTCGGGTAGTAAAAAATAGTACTTTTTGAAAATTTATAGTTTGTGTGTTACAAAAATATTCTTTTTTAGTTATCAATCTGCATTTATTTATTTTGTCTATTTTGACAACCCCCTATACTTCAAGTAATTATAAATTATAGACCCCTTAGGACCTTTTAACACTACGGCCAATGTTGTATTTGATGTCCTATTAGATTTAACTGATGGCTATTTTGACTATTGATTAAAACATACCTACTTTAGATTAAAGGGAAAATAATTCCAAACTCAATGTGACCAAGATGAAAAGAACAAAGAATTTTCAAATTCATTGGTTATATTATGTTGGGAATGGGGTGTTGATACACTGCGAAATAAAAGATCTATTGTGTCATCTTCTTTCGCTAATGCAGCAAGGAAATATCTCTGCCTATATATTTGGAGTGGCCTCAAGTTAGGTAAATTTCCCTCTTCTATTTGATATGCTCCTAGGTATAGTGCCCTTGGATTCTGAAGTGCTACACATTCAGTTAGAATGTAAATGGAGGTTTCGTCCTCGTCACAGAATCTGCACTCACTATCTTCTACTTCTCTCAGTTTACTAAGGTGTCCATTAAGTCGGCCTACTAAGAATCCCTATTACAATGCGTAGCCTGTTCTTGCTTAGGCGGATGCAGGCTTCCGATCTTTTCTGGTTATATTCACCCAGAAGTATCTTAGCCTGTCTCAGTCCCAAGAGATTGTTCCAATTATCAGTTCTTCTACTGCCCAATTCTTTATTAATCTCTCCTAATATTATGTAACTTCTAATACCGCAGAACGGTTCAGGTATTACAAAGGGTATTAGAGCCCCTTTTCTTCCGAGACTATCTGCAATTTCGTTACCCTGTACCCCATTATGTCCCGCGACATAAGTGAGAGTAACTCTATTTTTCTCGCCTAGCTCATTCAATTGTTCTAGTCATCTCTAGAGCATTTTTAAGCTGATTACGTAAGAGCTCAGCGCTTTGATGGCTGCTTGGCTATCGGACATGACGATAATCTCTTCTCTACGATAGTTCTTTTCGATGTTAAACTGCATACACTTCTAGATAACGTGAATTTCAGCCTGGAAGATGCTTGGGTATTTTCCCAAGCTTTCGGAGTGCTTAGTTCTCGGCCCATACACTCTTATTCCAGTTCCGTCTATGGTTTTAGAAATTCATTGGTTACAAAATGACAGACTGTCTCTACATAGAAAACAAATACTCCTTAGTTGTTGACATTTATTTTCAAACTATGTGAATCCAAGTAGGACTTTTGGTAGAAATAAACAATTGATCCAATTGGTACAAACTGTGTATTCTCTTGAGGAGAGTCCTTCACGCCATAGTTGTCCTTGAAAGCAAATTAAAAAAATCTGTGGCTTTCGATGATACTGCAGCACAAAAACAAATATTCAAGAAAATATTTGAAATGTTCATGAAAGCACATTATTTCGCATTTCTAGCTCTTACCGCGAACATGACAGAAGATACATAACAGAAGTTAATGAGATATTCTACTGCAACAGACGTATGGTTGGAACTCTACAGACTATTTGATGTCAGCACAGAGGACAAAATGTACGATAGATGCATGAATTTCTTTAAGTATCGGAAGCCATGTTCAAACTTAATTACAATCCGACTTTGGTTACGATAAAATAGCATAAAATAGTTTCTGTGCTTGCGACTTACCAGAAACGTTACTAATCTGCAAAATTCTGGCCACATTACCAGTGAAATATTTTTCCTTCGAATCCAGCTGGATGCTAACTAATGTTGAAATCCAATAAAACCATCGATAACCTTACACATCAAAAAAGTGCATACGGAAAAGCATAAAATAATAACACCAGAAGTTTTAGCACACAAAAATCAGCCAAGACTATATCCTGCCATTATTACAAAAAAAACACTGGACATGGAATTAAACAGTGCACAAAATGGAAAGCTAAACTGCCAAAACCAACAATGGCTAACGGAAACGCTAACAAACACGTAACATTATGTACCTGTACCGATATCGTTCTTGTCGCTGAATGTGATTCAGAACAGGTTTGTCGACAATGGGGCCACAAAACACATCATTAACAAACGTGACTTGTATTAATCGTTCGAGTACTTTGGAGAAGACCACAATGTGACAACCGCTAATGGAGACTCAGTAGGAGCTATTACGAACGGTAGCTTATCAATTGAGACACAAGTCAATGACCAGTGGAAAAATATCAAGCTCTCAAACGTATGGTACGTACCTTCCACAAATAAAAACTTGTTATCCGTCCTGCCTGCACTAAAGAAACACACGGCAAGTAGCTTTCTCTCGAAAACCTAATGTAGGTTTTCTTGGATAAAAAATTATTCCTCATAGCAATCAGGAATCGTGTTGGTAGATTATTTAAGCTTCACGTCAAAAATGGTAGTCCTAATACTGCCCAATTAACCTCTATCGCTACGGATAATCTACTGCAGCTGTTTCTCGAGAGATTAGCTCACCAAAACAGAAGCACGTAAAATAAGTAATCGTAAGGGAATTTGGAATAGGCGTCACGCTGGAGAGGTAACTGTGCAAAGAGTGTTTTTTTTTTCTATTTTCGTCAGGTAGCAATTTATGTTTGCATATATAAACCCTTTCATCGATACAAAAAATAATTGCAATACCATCATTGATTCAAAAAAAAAACACGTTTAAGCTTTATCCAGAATTTTATTAGTCGTAAATCCTTACACCAAAAGTAGCAAAACCGGATGACCGAAAATGTATTTTTTTATTGGTATAGACGTCTAGAAGCATATTCTTATGCAGCACCCTGCAGTAGCCTGCGGCTATTATAGGAAACATACAGACAGAAAAAGAAGTGAAATGTTACTCATCGCCCTACAGTGTGCTGCGGTTGTCTTAAGTAAAAGTACAAGTAAAAGAAGATAGAATAGTCCAGAAATGTCATTACCCGTCAAGAAGATTCTACACGACAGCTCGAGAAGGTTCGAGAAAAGTCAAGCAAGTATATAAAGATGATCCTGACGTCAGTTTTTAGTTTTATGATAGACGTTACATGTTAATGTTATCAGTTGTATAATTGTTGTTAAAGTTGAGTTGAAATAAATTGTGATACCAAAAACATGCACTCTATTCATGGTAAATACTAGATCAACTGTGCACGAAACGGATATGGATACTTCAGGCCCACCAGCATGGTTTTTAAAGATGAAAGAGGAAAAGGAAAGGCGTGTAGGAAGGAAGAAGAGGAGGAAAAGGAAAGGCGTAGGAAGGAAGAAGAAGAGAAAAATGAAAGGCATAGGAAGAAAGAAGAGGAGGAAAAGGAAAAGCCTAGGAAGGAAGAAGAGAAGGAAAAGGAGAAAAGACATAGAAAAGCGGAGGTGGAGATTATAAATGGCTTAGTGCAAATTCAAGAAAATTTCAGGCATAAGGTAGGTCAGCTAAACAGTCGAATAGATCTCCAACAAGAGCAGCAGCAAGAAAACTTAAAAACTACTTTAGAGAATTTAAAAACAACTAACTTAAAATCACGAACAGTTGAAATACCAAAAGGACCTCAGTCTATATCTTTGCTGTTATTGAACAGAATCAAATAGAGGAGATATTCGTTAGCACCTTTTTGGTAATGTGGTTATGCTACTCTCTTTAACGTTAATCTACGTCACGTCTCTTTTATAGCGCTGTTTATTTCATGTAAATCGAAGTCATAATAGCGGAGACATCAACTTATGCCCTTTTGGATTTGTCGCTTTGCATTAGCTGTTGTATTAGTCATTTCCACCACGTCCCATGGTTTTTCTATTCGATTTGGACCAACAACAATGGAAATATGCATTAATGTCCTTTTGGCATTTCCACTTTGTGTGATTTTTCTCGTTATCAGTAATCTACATCACGTCTCCTTCATTATGCCGTTTATACTGTTCGATTAGGTCTAGTAATAGTAGAGATACAGGCTTGGGTTCTGTTTGCTTCACCACGGCACGTGATTTTTTTCTTAAGCGTTAATATACATGTAATTTTCCCCACTCTTTTATTTTTTTCTTTTGGATTTGACCAATAGCAACGGAGATAAATATACGTTGATGCCCTTTTGGCATTGCCACTGTACATGATAATATGTCATTGTTTGATTATGTCCAATAATAGCGGAGATATAGACTTAGGTTTTTTTGGCATTGCCACTGTACCTGATTTTTCTTTTTAACGTTATTCCCCCACTTTTCAGTTTTTCCGGTGTGAATCGGGACAATACCAATGGAGATATGCATTAATGCTCTTCTGACTTTATCACTGCGCATGATTTTTCTATTTAACGTTCACGTAAACTATGGCCACCATCTTGGATCGCCGAGCCGAGTCGCAAACAACTTATCCAAGTTTCAATTCCCAACACTAACAGGTCGCATCATCTCGTAGCGCCAGAAACCCTATATCCCATCTTTCAGACTAAGAGGAACAGAGCTCTTGTAGAGATCGGTATAGCCAAATTGGTGATCCTCGAAGATGCCAGCGTGTGCCTATATAGTTTGCCAGACTGTCAAAGAATATCAGGACTGATCTGAAAATCTTATCAAAAGATATTTCTGTACTTAAGTAGAGAGAAAACATTCTTATGTCTTTGTGTCTTAAAAATGTGTGATTTTCCAAAATGAAAGGAAGTTCCTTCCATATTTCGATATTCTTTTTTAATCAGATATCGAATTTGTATGTCGAATAGATAAAGAAATGGCCATTCCATAAGAGGTTTTTTGCTATTAAAATATTCATATCACTAGTTTATTGTTGTACTTTTTTATCAGTTTACCATTTACTCCAAAAAATTTGAGTTTATGTTATTC